CTTATGGCATAGCCTCTTCAATTTAAAACAAGGCTTGAACTATCTGTTTCTGAAAGGTGGAACGCACGTCAGACCCATTTGGCCACAGAAAGACGTGATTAATAATTAATTATACGGATATATAAACACCAGTACACAAGTTGTTTTATTACTGATTGAGAAAGCCTGAATAGGTGAAACACTTTTTGGACAAGCCCCATTTATTGTTTTATTGTGGTTTTATATTTGTATCTTTATTTGTCTAATAAATTGGAATATTCCTTAATTGGGAGATTTCCTGTATATCTTTGGAGGGTAACACCACCCCAATAAATAGGTGTCCACTTTGCAAATACAGCCTATAGGAAAAGGCCCTTTTACATGTGAGTATATTTCAAATTTGATTTCTGGTCTTAAAGACATATTACACTATTTCTGCACTTTTCCTGTTTTATATATTAACTCCTAGGGAATTGGAAGAAAGCCTCTCAAAGTAGGGTTGGAGTGCCCTGATCTTAAAGACTCCATATGATGTCAAGATTGAGACATTATTAAAGCCTCCCCACTTGTGAGTTGGTAATTCTACTATCACCTCTATTGGTATTGATCTTTAACTTTGAATATCAGATTGTCTGCACTATGAAATTCATATTTGGATTTTTTAGGTCTTTTAATTGTCATAAAAAACTGGAAAGTATCAACCTCTATCATCTTTTTGTTTCACATATTGTAAATCACTGTTTGAATTGGACTTGAAAAGTTCACTGTTTTGTTTGCATATGATATTTTCATTGCATTAATTTGAATCAGAGACTTGGTACACATTAGAGTATACAAGTTATCAATGTTCCCCAGCACTTTTAGCACTATCACTGCACAATATTTGCATCACTTTGTTTTAGTCTTTTGATACATTTATTGTGGTTTTTATAAACTCTCCACTCTCTTTCTACCACACTGACAAAACATAACTAATCCAAAGATGATAACAGACAGAAACCTGCAGATGAGGCTCCTTTTCTAACTTTTTTCTATCTTTTTCAGCACTGCACCAAACACAAATCTAGAAAATAAATAAAATTATGATTTTAGCAACAATTGTAGTGACCATATTAGTTCTACAATCAATAGAAAAGAATCTTGCAATATTTCAAGCTGTTCGTGGTCTTAGTCAAAGAGTTAAAGGAACACTCCAAGCACCATAACCACTACATTATGCAGTAGTAGTTATGGTATCAAGAGTGCCCTGATGCACCCCGATGTAAATAGTCAAATCGTTTGACAACTACAGAGCACTGTTTTGGTCATGATACTTGGAGTAGCCCTTTTAATTCTTAGAAACACTAACAGCATAATAATGCAATACAGTAGAAACAGTGGGTTTTTCTTTATATTGACGCTGGGGCTCCCCCTTCTCATCTCCTACTTTGTCAGTCATAAAATGTATGTTTTGTTATTCTTCCCACAAAAAACAGAACTCTGAACAATGCCTGTATTCCCTTAGAGTTAAAATAATCAAGAAATAATTCACTAGTAAAGAAATCCTTTTAGTTTTTACCTACAGACTTGTTACTGAATCAGAATAAAGTAAAACTGAGAGAGTTGTTTACTGTTGGTCTAACCTACAGAAACAGCAAGTAAATCTCATTCAATTTGGTTTCTCAATTAAGAAATTCACTGTAAACATCTAACTAAAAACACAGGTAGAATTCAGCACTCGGAAAAGCACGTACGGATGTAGAGTCGTGTGCTCATGCCTTAGGCCCATCCAAAAATAGAAGCAAATTTAACTTTTAGACAACATATATTTCTACTTTATATCACAACTTTTCAAGCAGCCAGTTATATTTGTTGTAAGGAATAGTTTTATTTAGTTTAGATATTTAATAGCAAGTAGTTTAAAGGTAAATAAAACTAAAATGCACTTATCCAAACTAAATTTTCCAAGAATCATGATAAGTCAACAAAACAGCAATGTTTGAAATTCATTGATTAAAGGTACAGTCCGAACACTAATACAACTCTAGTGCATTTGATATTTGTCTTTGCCTCATTAATGTGCTGTATTTTTTGCATGTACAAATCTTTATATTTTTTGCACAAAAAAAATGTTTTGCAAAATACTGCCCCATAAGTCTTTAGATAGTTTTTAGAGAGTTGAAGGAATATGCTGCAGAGGAATGATTACTGAAATCGGCTACAAAAGGGGTGGCATCCAAAAATGTTGAAACACATATCAAGGGCAGGTAAGCATCACTAGTGATAGGGCTCCCTTAACAATGGTTGTTTTGAGTGCTAGCAATGCCACATACATGGATTAATGACAGGTGGGAACCAGGTACGCCAGGTGAATAGCAGCCTTGACACTAATATTTGGAAATATTGTAACGGTATGGTTGAGAAATAATCAGTTCTAAATTACATTAGAACCATGACTGCCTCGATATTCTGACCAAAATTATGTGTTAAATGTGAGCATGCTATGTGTGAACAATAGTGTTATGTGATCAGTCCTAGGGGGTGGTTAGCAAACCAACTGTTACTTCTTCGACATTCTTTGTCAAGGGAAATGGAATCCAGGGAACATATATATAATAAAATGTATCCAGAGAAGTTACAATCATGTAGATAAGCGAGAACTGTGTAGAACTGTGTAGACTACAACGACCTTTATTCTGTCCTCTAATTCTCTCATTTTGCATACATTTGTTTCCATTTATTTTTCTTTACTGTAGTTAGCTCCATTTTTTTTGTATTTTATTAAGAGAATTTAGAGACTGTGTTGTCCACGTCTTACCTTTATTATTTTGATACTGAATTTTCACATATTTGTCAGTGGCCCACGAACACAAACTCCTCCTTTTCAAGAAAAATGTTTGTTGAAAAAGGTCAGTTTAAACGCCAAGGTTTTAACCCCTTAAGGATACATGACATGTGTGACATGTCATAATTCCCTTTTATTCCAGAAGTTTGGTCCTTAAGGGGTTAAAGGGCCTTAACAAATAAAATGTGGTTGGCCCATTTGTAACACAAGGAATGATGTTACTATGTTCTAAACACTAATAATAAATCATGTATATTTTACATGTACAGGTTTTTTCTTGTTGTTTTTTACCAAAATGAGAATTGGTGGCAATTTATAGTGAATTGAAAGTGAAATTCAAATTTCAAGCTAAAGTAGCGGAACTGGAAGCACAGCTGATTTGGAGAATCTTTCCAGTTCAGATACTTTTTCCTTAAATTTAAAATTCACTTTGAATTTCCAAAGATTCGCATTTTAGTCAATAACTCTGTACAAAAAACCATGTTATATATATATATTTACATGACTTCTTTATTGTAATCTAAACTACTGTATACTATACAGAAATGTTATCACAAGTTTGCCACGTTTCTTTTTTCAACAATCTTCTTCATAAGGGGCATGCATCTAAGGCAGTGGTTTCCATATCAGTCCTCAAGGCACACTGACCAGCAGGGCCGCCACCAGCTCAGCTCAGGGTCTGTGCCCCCTGGGGCCCGCCTCCAATCCTGCCCACAGGGTCCGCCTCCAAATCCCACCCACGTTAATACACACACAGACACAAACACACACACTGATACAAAAGGACACAGATACACACACACAGATACATACTAACAGACACACATACTGAAACAGACATTATATTTATATTATATGACCACAATTTAGCTAAATGTGAGGAGGGACTAGTTACTAGCTATTATTCTCTTAGCCTTTGGAGGGCTCTGTAATGTAGAGGGGCCAGAAATATTGCTTGAATGGATGCCAATAATAGGCCTACAATCCGTGCTCGAGATCTGATGGAAATCAATTCCTTGTTCAAAATTGATCTGATCTCTTTTTAACATTGACTTTTTTGGGGGGTCGGGGCCTTACCGCCATGCTGACCGGTAGCACGCGGGAGAGGCTCTGGCAATTTAGGCTGAAAACTATGGCACATTGCACCCATTATCAGCCAGGAAATATAGCACAGTGAACAGGTGGCTGTTGGCACTACTGCTGACCCCAAGATCGGGAGTTTTGAGGCCCTTGAGGGCTATGCGAAACTTTGGAGCCTGCGGCCTTCATGGGAGGGGAGCAGGGTGGACTACCGCCACCCTGTCTCCAAATCTACCAGCCATACAGCAGTGCTGAGACACTTCTCACAGGTCCCGATCCCCACTGGAGGGATCCGACACCATTGTGCACAGATCCCACTGCACATACCATGCTCTCGGATTCCCGAGCTTTACAACAAAATGTCCTCCTGGCGGTCTGTACTGGGCACGTTGATACACAGATAAAACATCACTGCTGGGTGCTGGCTAAGGCACCCATTCACGGTCTATCTCACCACACAAGCAACTAGTGGAGTTTATGGCAGCCCAAGCCTTGGTACCCAGAGATTGGGTCTAGTCCCCATGGCTGCCTTCCTGGGCATAAAGTCATGCAAGGATTTTCCTCACACCAGGGGCAGGCTGGGCCGGGGGGCAGGGAGGCAATTGCCCCCCAGGCCGCCCCAAATTCTGTTAATACCGGCCACTGAAGGGCCGGCCCTTTAAATGCTGCAGCCGACTGAGCGCTCTGTTAAGAGCCTCAGACGGCTGCAGCTGCTCTTCTCCTCCCCTCCCCTGTAGCGTGGCCGAGCTCCTCTGCTGTCCATGGTGCC